CGTTTGTAAGGGCAAGAGTTACGTCTCCACTTTCATTTCTGATTCTAGTAAATGGAATTTTCTCTCTCTGTTTCTTCTGCTCAAACAAGCTAAAGATTTGTTGATTTTGTTGATCTTTTCCAAGAACCAGTGTTTGGTTTCATTGGTTTCTCTATGGGTTTTGTCTTCTCTGTTTTATTAGTTCCTGCTCTCATCTGTTATTTCCCTCCCCTGCCTGCTTTAAATTTTATTTACTTTTGTTTTCCCAGTTGTCTTAGAGTGGAGTGTGGGCTTATTAATTTGGGATCTTTCTTCTTATAGGCATTGACAGCTACAAATTTCCCTCTAAGCATTACTTTTTCTTTTTATTTATTGTATTTTTTATTTTTATTTTTGAGACAGGGTCTCGCTCTGTCACCCAGACTGGAGTGCAGTGGTGCCATCACGGCTCACTGAAGCCACAACCCTTTAGACTCAGGGGATCCTCCCATCTCAGCCTCTCGAGTAGCTGGGACTGCAGGCGTGCACCACCACACCCAGCTAAATTTTGTGTATCTTGTAGAGATGGGGTTTCAGCATGTTGCCAGGCAGGTCTCCAACTCCTGAGCTTAAGTGATCCTCCTGCCTCGGCCTCCCAAAGCGCTGGGATTACAGGCATGAGCCGCTGCGCTGGCCCTCTGAGCATGGCCGTCTGAGCATTACTTTAGCTGCACCACGTAAGTTTGGATATGTCCTGTCTTCATTCGTACTCATCTCCAAGTCTGACTCCCTTCTGATTTCTTGGTTGACCTCTTTGATTATCTAGGAATATGTTTAATTTCCACATATTTGTGAGGTTCCCAATTTTTTTCCTGTCATTAATATCTAATGTTGTGGATGGAGTGTATACTTGTATTATTTCTATCCTTTTAAATGTATTGAGGTCGGTTCTATGGCCTGGTATATGTCCTGTTCTGGAGACTGTTCCGTGTGCACATCGGAAAAATGTATATTGCGTTGTTGAGTGACACGTTCTACGGATGTCTGTGAGGTCTATTTGGCTTATGGTGGTGTTCACGCCTTCTGTTTCCTTGACTCTCCTGTATAGTTGTTCTGTCCATTATTGAAAGTGCAGTATTAATTAGCTGGGCACAGTGGTGCGCCCCTGTAGTCACAGCTACTCAGGAGGCTGAGGCAAGAGAATCGCTTGAACCTGGGAGGCAGAGGTTGCAGTGAGGTGAGATCATGCCATTGCTCTCCATCCGGGTGACAGAGTGAGACTCCGTCTAAAAAACAATAAAAATTAAAATTAAAAAGTGGGATAATGAAGTCTCCAGCTATTATTATGGAATGTCTCTTTCTCAATTTCTGTTTCTGTTCAGTTTTTGCTTCATTTACTTATTGCTGTATCATTGGTACATATGTTTTAATGGTTTTATCTTCTTGGTGGATTGACCTGTTGATCATTACATATTATCTCGAATAACACTTTTTGTTTTAACATCTACTTTATCTATTAGCTTTCCTGTGGTTGCTGTTTGGATGATACATCTTTTCCCATCTTTTTACATTGTATCTATTTGTGTCTTTGAATCTAAAGTGTGTCTCCGGTAGACAACATTTAGTTCAATTATTTTTTAAAACCCACTCTGCTTTTGATTGGGTTGTTCGCTCCATTCATATCTAATGTCATGATTGATATAGTTGGGTCTGTGTCTGCCACATCTTATTTTCTGTTTCATGCGCCTCACGGATCATGTTGTTTCTGTATCCTTCCTTAGCTGCTTTCTTTTGCATTGGTTATTTTCTTATGGAGCATTTTAATTGCACTAATTTTTTATATATACATATAAAATATATGTGTGCGTGTGTGTGTGTGTGTGTGTATAGAGAGAGAGAGAGGGGAGGTCTCTGTTGCCCAGACTGGAGTGCAGTGGTATAATCTCTGCTCACTGCAGCCTCCGCCTCCTGGGATCAAGTGATTCTCCTGACTCAGCCTCCCAAGTAGCTGGGATTACAGGTGCACACCACCACACCCAAGTAATTTTTGTATTTTTAGTAGAGACAGGGTTTTGCTGTGTTGGCCAGGCTGGTCTTGAACCCCTTGACCTCAGGTGATCCACCTGCCTTGGCCTCATAAAGTGCTGGGATCACAAGCATGAGCCACCACACCCAGCCCACTAATGATATTTTAAAGGTTTTTTTTAGTTATTTATTTTAGTGTTTGCTCTGGAGTTTACCATAAATAATCAGAACTTGCTTCAGGTTTGTGCTTAATTCCAGTGAGATGAAGATGTTATGCCTGTATAGCTGTATTTGCTTTTCTCCCTTTTGGTGCAATTGTTGTGATACACATTGTTACAATTATTGCTTTTGCTTCACTATCTGTCATTTCCTTAGACCATTACACCTTTGCTCCCACACACCTCTGCTCCCACACACCTCCTTTGGGCTTTTATTGGCAAACATTACACATATATTACATTTCTATATGCTGCAGGCTTAATACATTATAAACATCTTATTTTTATACAGTTGCTGTTCAAATCAAGAAAAAAATGCATTTATAGTGTCTTTTCTAATTACATAATAACCTTTACTAACACTTTTTGTGTTGATCCACATTTTCATCTGGGGTCACCTGCTTTCAGCCTGAAGAACCTTCTTTAGTATTTCTTGTGAGGCAGGTCTGCTAAGCAGTGAATTCTCTCAATTTTTGTTTACCTGGGAAAGTGTTTATTTTTTACTTTAATTTTTCAACAGTAACTTTGCTGTATATAGGATTCTTGATGGCAGGATTTTTTTCCTTTGAGCACTTCGGATATGCCATTCCACTGCCTTCTGGCTTGCAGTGTTTCTGCTGATAAATCAGCTGTTTATCTGTGAAGTTCCTTTGTAAGTGATCTTCATTTTGCTCTTGCTGCTTCCATACTTTTTCCTTGTCTTTGACCTTCATTACGTTTATTATGATGTGTCCATCTGTGGGTCTCTGTGTTTATCCTGCTTGGAGTTCATTGAACTTCCTGGATATGTAGGTTATTGTTTTTAATAAATTGGATTTTTTTTTTCACCATTATCTCTTTGCATAGTTTTTCTTCTCCCTTCTCTCCTCTCCTTGGATATTCCCATTATGCATATGTGGGGGCATATAATGGTGTCCTGTGCTTCTCGAGGCGCTGTTTGCTTTGTTCTTTTTGTCTCTGTTCTTCAGCATAATTCCCATCAAACTATCTTCATGTTTACTAATTCTTTTTTCTGCCAGTTAAAACCTACTGTTAAGCTTTTCTAGTGATTTTTAAATTTTTTTATTTCAATTATTGCACTTTTCAATTCCAGAATTTCCATTTGGGTATTTTTTTAAATGTCCATCTCTTTACCAACAGCCTCTATTTGTGGCATTTTCACTTATGCTTCCTTTAGTTTTGTGAACATACTGATAGTGGCTGCTTTGAAATCTCATTCTGTTAAATTTGACATTTGGTCACTCTCACAGCAGTTTTTGTTGCCTGCTTTCTTCCTAATGTATGAACCATACTTTCCTTTTCTTTTTCTTCCTTCCTTCCCCTCTTCCTATTCCACATATCTTGTCATTGTTAGAAACTAGACATTTTAGACAAGATACTCTAGCCCTTTGGGTAGTCCCCGTCCTGGGCCTGTTACTCACTGATTTAGTCTTTTGGTGACTGGCTGGGTTACTGTCGTCATGCCCGTGCACCCTTCCTCCTCCCCAGCAACAGTCTCAGTGTCGGGGCAGCGCCAGTGTGCCACAGTCACCCTAGGATGACAGGGTTTGGGGAGCAACCTCTTCCTCTGTCTCACTGACCACACCCAGTAGTTAAAACTCCAGGTTGCCAGCTGAGAGCTCTGTTATTCCTCTACAACCTGATCATATTGCAGCTCCTTCTCATTGCTTTCTGAGAGTGCCTGACATTGTTCTGACCCCAGGAGGCTCCTGCCAGCTGTCTTCTCCCCTCGTTCCCCAGCACCCTAGCCAGCCTGCATCTAGGCTACATGGTCAGCAGACGCATGAATCTGCTAATTCACTTCACCTCCACCTCTGATAGTGTTGAGAGTGTCCTTAGGTGTAAGCTTCTTCATGTTCTGTTGCAAATGAGGTCAGTTCCTTTGAGAGGAGATTACTTCCTGCATCTCCCTCCTGGCAGAAATCTCTGAGCCACGGATTTGGGGGATGGGGACAAGGGCAAGCCTCAGTGTGAATGACACCCTCCCTCTCCAGGAGCTGAGAGCTTGATGGGGGGCAGCACCCTGAGACCTCATCGGCCTCTCCTGGCCTGGAATCACTGCAGCAAGGGCAGTCAGGCCCTATCTTCTCAGTGTGCCACACCCACGGCCAGCCTCCCGCCTGTGACACCCAAGGCCAGCCTCCCACCCGTGACGCCCACGGCCAGCCTCCCGCCTGTGACACCCAAGGCCAGCCTCCCACCCACGAGAATGGGGACTGGGCGGGAGGAGGGAGCCCCACCCTCCACCGGACTCCCCAAGGACCTAGCCCCAGGAGCTGAGGGCAGAATGTGAGATTGTGATGTCGGCCCCTTCTGTGGGAAGAAGCCCCCTGACTGGGAGCTGGGGGTGGGGTGGGGTGGGGGTGGGAGGGCTGTGTCTGTGGCTGCAGCCATTCCACATGGAGTCTCCTCCTGGCCAAGCTGAGGAGGAAGATGCAGTCTTGACACAGATACCACAAACGCTCTTTCTTACAGAATGTTCACATATAAATAGATGTTTGTTTGCTGTTTGCTTTTAAGATAATCTCCCAAGGCTTTAAAAGGTCAAAGGTTTAAACATTATTTTCACCAGTTTCCTGGGTCAGCTAAGGGCATCCGCTCTCAAGCCCGAAGTCATCACCATTAAATCTTGCTTTTTCATTTTTTTTTTTTTTTTCCCAAATAGAACTGGGCCTGTTCCGTGGGTTGGCGCGGGAAGGGTGGCCTGGGGACGCCTCTGGTCCTGGGGAAGGAAGGGCGGAGCGCCCCCGGCCCTCCAACAGGCCTGCGCCCCCAACCCCACATCCCCTTTCCCCGCAGGGCGAGTGCTCCCCCAAGTGCCGCAGCCTGTTCGTGCTGGAGACCGTGTGCGTGGCCTGGTTCTCCTTCGAGTTCCTGCTACGCTCCCTGCAGGCCGAGAGCAAGTGCGCCTTCCTGCGCGCGCCGCTCAACATCATCGACATCCTGGCGCTGCTGCCGTTCTACGTGTCCCTGCTGCTGGGGCTGGCGGCAGGCCCGGGCGGGACCAAGCTCCTGGAGCGCGCGGGGCTGGTGCTGCGGCTGCTGCGCGCGCTGCGCGTGCTCTACGTGATGCGCCTGGCGCGCCACTCGCTGGGGCTGCGCTCGCTGGGCCTGACCGTGCAACGCTGCGCGCGCGAGTTCGGGCTGCTGCTGCTGTTCCTGTGCGTGGCCATGGCGCTCTTCGCGCCGCTGGTGCACCTGGCCGAGCGCGAGCTGGGTGCGCGCCGCGACTTCTCCAGCGTGCCCGCCAGCTACTGGTGGGCCGTCATCTCCATGACCACCGTGGGCTACGGCGACATGGTTCCGCGCAGCCTGCCCGGGCAGGTGGTGGCGCTCAGCAGCATCCTCAGCGGCATCCTGCTCATGGCCTTCCCGGTCACCTCCATCTTCCACACCTTCTCGCGCTCCTACTCCGAGCTCAAGGAGCAGCAGCAGCGCGCGACCAGCCCCGAGCCGGCCCTGCGGGAGGACAGCACGCGCTCGGCCACGGCCACCGAGGACAGTTCGCAGGGCCCCGACGGCGCGGGCCAGGCCGCCGACTCCGCGGACGCGCTGTGGGTGCGGGCAGAGCGCTGACGCCTGCGCCGCCCGCACGGGGACCCCCCGCCCCCTCCAGCTGCAGCGTCGGGACCCCCGAGGCGCGCCGAGGGGCGGGGGTCGTCTGGCTCTGGGGAGCGGCTCCTGCCGGCCGCGTCCTCGGCCCTCCTGTGTGACCAGCCCCAGAACTCGGCGGGGCCCCGCCTGACTCCCCTGGCAGCGCTGGGCGAAGTCACTGGCCTGTGTCCTCCTGCCCTGCTTCTTTCTTTGGATTTTTAATTTTCTATACCTAGATAAAAATAAATTTAGTAAGTCCCAGAAGTTCCACACCGACTGTGGATGACTTCGTCCCCCCGCCCCCGACTTTTCCTGCCTCCGGCCAGGGAGAAAGGGGTAGCGCGGCCCTTGCCAGGCCCCCATGGCACCCAGAATGGGCATCCTACGGAAGGAGGCCCTCCGCATCCACCTCTGCCCAAGGCCACATCACCTTCCCAGGGATGGACCGAGGTTTGAGCCGCCGCTCACAGCACCCCCAGTGCTGCCCCAGTAACTCCAGCCCTGACCTCTAACCTCCATTCCCTGACACCACCTCCCTAGGGAATCTTCAAGTCTTGACCTCAGGGAGGGTGACAAGGGCTTCCTGACACTCCCTCCGGATAAGGCTTGCGTGTGGCATTGCAACCCTTCCATGGCCGCCTTCTGGGCCTTTCTGCAGGTGGAGAGGAAGGAAATTTCCACACCGCACTGCTCTGCACTCGTTCATTTTGATGAGTTCATCCAGGAAACTTGAGACATGATGGCCACAGCCCGAAGCGGAAGGGGGATGCCTCAGCAGAGGGTCCCACTCTCCACTACACAGCAGGAGTCTGTAGGGGACGCAGGTGTGGAGAAAGGGGAGATGTGCATGGCCCCGGTGAGTGCCTGAGTGCAAGCCCCAGTCCTTTTCCATAGCAGACCTGCAGCAACCCACCGGGACCACGTGGGGCTCAGACCTGCCTCCCCCAACAGCCAGGTCAGCTGGTGCCCCAGGTGCCCATGACACGGAGGGTCCATGGACGCCAGGCACACAGCGCGGGTGGGCCTGGGGTCTGGGGTCTGGCTCTGCACTGAGGGCCACTCTCACAGTGACAGCCTTGGGTCTTGCTCGGGAATGAGCAGAGCTTGGTACTGGTCTGAGAGGCCCACGCAGAGGACAGCCCGAGGGGCCACGCGCTGAGGCTGGTGCCCCCTACTTGCTGCTTGTCCCAGCATTGGTGGTGACCCCCAAAGACAGAAGAATTCCTCCTGTGCGGTGAGGTGCTGACCACCACGAAGACCCCCAGAAATAAACCCAAGTCGTTCTTCCACAGAGGGCCAGGTCAGAGGTGGGGAATGGGCCAGGTCAGAGGTGGGGAATGTCGGGGGACGGGGAGTCTTGGACCTGCCCCTCCCCACTTTGGGCTGCAGGGTCTGGCCAGGGAGCCCCGGGGCGCTCCAAGACCCGGGCCCACCAGAGGCCACCCTGGGTCACCAGGATGGGGGTGCTGGGCACTTGTGCTGAGACTGGGGTGGGGGTACATTTCCTCCTGAGCAAGTGCCCACCCAGCCCCTGGGCATCCTTTTCCCTCTACAGGTGCCCTGTGGGCCACCCTCTCAGGCCCCTGGGAAGGGCACAGGGCTGGGGCTCAGGGCAGGCCTCAGTTTCCTCATGTGGTGAGAGGAATGTGAACTTCTCAGGCTCCCATGACCTCCTCTCTCCCACGGAGGGGCCCTCACTGGGAGTCCTCCTCGGCCTCCTGCTTCCCTGGTGGTGCTTTGTTGCTTAAAACTATCAGAAGGCATCGCAGGGTGGCAGTGCCTTGAGAGCTGAGAAACGCAGCTATTTCCACCGCTGCCCCCACCCCCCACGGCTCCCACAGTGTGGGGTTGAGACCTTGCCCCCATTTCCTGTTAAAACCCGGTGGCCCAGAGTGGTCCCCAAGAACTGCCTGTCTCCACACCCTGAAGACGCACAACCCCACGCCTGCGCTAGACCTCTGGTTCCTCTGGCACCACCCACCAGCACTTGAGGAGGGCGATTTGTGTCCCAGACGTTCTAGACACGCTGGCCTTCATCTCCCATCTTCCCCCAGGCTGCTGCCTGGATGTGGCCTGTGCCCTCTCCTAGTACCCGGATGGGCCCTTCAACCCAAATCCTGCCCTGCACCCACGCGACTGGTTTTTTACTGGACAAAGAAACTTGCATCTTGCCTTCAATGTAAACACTGCATGGAAAAAATCGCAGTGCACACACAGCTCCACCTCTATGAGCTGCTCCGAGATCACAAATCTGGAAACGCTTCTCTTGGCCTTCAAAGGAGACCTTTCCCCTGCTCTGAGCCTTCAGTGGTGGGAGGCAGAAGGGCGGATGTGTGAACCGCAGAGGCCAGGGCAGCCAGACCCGTCTGTGACGAGCCGAAAGGACCCCTGGGCCACTGGCCCACAGGCAAAGGGTAGTGACAGGTTGAGGGGGCTGGGCTGTCATTTGGGGGCCCTGGAGGAACCCGGGTGACACGGGAGCCTTCTAAGCTGGCCCAGGCTAAACGGTGTGTCTGGGCAGAGGCCAGGACCACAGCCAGATCCTTCCCTCTGCCCGGGGCCCACTCATACCACACGGGATCCACAAGTGGTTTATTGATTCCAAGTCACCACACGGGATACATTCAGCAGTCACCGTGCCTGCAATCGGTGACATTTTAATGTGAGGCAATTACCACTACAGACATCTTGCTTCATCTTAAAAAAATAAAAATTTTCAAAGCATCTCACAGGCCAAAGAGCTAAACAGGACCCTCACTCAGACATTCAAGAGTGTTTCCGAGGAAAACTCAGGGGGCAGCAGCGTGGAACATCTTCCCATGGCCACAGCCACGGCCCCGGCATAGAGCTCAGATGCCTGTGGGAAGCGGCCCCTCCGCCCGCGGAAGGGAAGACGATGCCTGTTGGAGCCGCACAGAAGCATCCAGAACTCTGAGGACTGGGGGCCGGCTGTGGTCAGTGCAGGGCTGCTGACACAGTGTGACCTCGTGCTAAACTGAAAACGGGGTGGGGGCAGAGCGTGGGGTGACAAGGTGTCAGACTGGCAGCTCCCACTGCAGCAGAACTGTGTGAGTCAGCACAAGGGGGTAGGCAGTGGACAGGACAGGATGTGGCAGGCCCCGGCACTCCCACTCAGGAATTTGCTTCAGGCCAAAAGCCCAGAGCGGCAGGGTGAGGGGCCATCGGCCAGGACCTGCATGGCAGGGGCAGCCCCTCCACTCCCTGGACCCGAGGCCGCCTCTCTCCTGGAAAATGGACATCAACGCTGTATCCGGAGGTGCAGTCGGCGTCCAGAAGGAAGGGGATCTCTGCCAGTGGAGCCCAAGGGTGGCATGCGGGCTGCGTGTCCACAGCCTTGGCACGGCCCCCACGTTATCTGATGGTCGCTGGCATCTGCCACATCCCCGAGGACTCAAGGAGGACCAGAGGCTCTGACAAGAGCAGCGTGAGCTACCCCTGGTGATGCTCAGCAGGGCTGGACACAGCATAGCCACGAGGCGTCCGGGTCTGGCAGCAGCTCTCGAGGCCCAGGAAACACCAACTGCCAGAAAACAGGAGCACGGTGACCCTGCGTCCACACAGCGCCTTTCCACCAGGAACACGGTGACCCTGCATCCACACAGCCGCTTTCCACCAGCAGCACAGTGACCCTGCGTCCACACAGCCCCTTTCCACCAGGAGCACGGTGACCCTGCGTCCACACAGCCGCTTTCCACCAGCAGCACGGTGACCCTGCGTCCACGCAGCCCCTTTCCACCAGCAGCACGGTGACCCTGCGTCCACGCAGCCGCTTTCCCTCGTCCCGCCTTCCCTTTCCACCAGCAGCGGTGACCCCTCTCGTCCACGCCTTCGCTTTCCACCAGCAGCGGTGACCCTGTGTCCACGCGGCGGCGCTTTCCACCAGAACACGGTGACCCTCGTCCACGCGGCAACCACCAGCAACACGGTGACCCTGCGTCCACACAGCGCCTTTCCATGTGTACCAGGCAGAGAAAGCCCGCCTCCACGGTGCCAGACCCCGGGCAGCAGGAGGCCGCCCCAGTCCAGGTCTGGCCAGGAGCCTTCAGCCGGTGGCGGCTCTCTGCTCACGGGACTTACGAGGCCTCCTGAGGTCACCCCAGCTTCCAAGGTTGCGGCTGCTGGCCACGAGTCCCACCTGGAGCAGGTTCCTGCAGGCACGCTGCGTCCACGCAGCCGCTTTCCACCAGCAGCACGGTGACCCTGCGTCCACACAGCGCCTTTCCATGTGTACCAGGCAGAGAAAGCCCCGCCCTCCACGGTGCCAGACCCCCGGGCAGCAGAGGCCGCCCCAGTCCAGGCAGGGTCTGGCCAGGGTGTCGCGGGGTCGACGGCTCTGCTCACGGGACTTGCAGGGCCTCCTGAGGTCACCCCAGCTTCAAGGTTTGCGGCTGCTGGCCCACGGGTCCACCTGGAGCAGGTTCCTGCAGGCCGCCTTCCGCCGCCCTGTGTGTACCTCGGGCTCAGACGGTGTTTCGTAAGAGGAAACGGGAAAAACACTTGCTTTTTATATCACCCTAAAAACATCGGAAACCCTCGGGCTCAGATCCACCCTGGCTGTCCCACCCCCACCGCCCACCCGGAGAGACCCCACAGAGGCTGGAGACCCCAACACCCGGACCCCGTCTTCCCCACACCTGCAGCGGCCGCAGCACCCACCAGTGCCTGTGGCTGGCTGGCCCACATCCTTGTCCTCCCCACTCTCAGAGGGCCTTGGTGCCAGCAGGGTGCACAGCGTGCAGCGCCGGCTTCTGGGGGTGGCGGGCAAAGGCGTAGGCCTGCCCCAGGATGGCCAGGTCCACCAGCACCTGGAGCAGGCCGCACACGGAGAACTGCAGAGGTGCGCCCTTCAGCAGGAAGTAGGCCGTCTTGAAGGCGTCGCCACTGGTCCACATGAGCACCATCTTGATGCTGTGGAGACACAAGCGGGCCGTCGGTGGGGAAGACAGTGACCTGGGGCTCAGGGGGCACCCAGGTGGTCGAGGGGACACCCAGGCAGTCCACGGGGTGACCCAAGGATCAAGAACACCCCAGGGGGTCGGGGGATACCCTGGGAGTTTGGGGCCTGCCCGGGTGGGGAGTGCTGCCTTACCCCAAGGAGTCAGGGACACCCCAGGGGGCCAAAGGACACTGACCCTGCCTGTCCCACACAACCTGGCCCTTGACTTCTCTGTGGCCTCAGGAGCTGCCGCCTGGCTGGGGCTCCGGGGGCTCCGACTCAAGCACTGCATGCCCAAGAACAGCGAGACCAGCTCAGGTTACAGCAGGCGGCAGGGGTGGGCAGCCGAGGAGGTCAGGGCTTCTGACAGCGAGACCACCTTGAGGTTACAGGGGACGGCAGGGGGTGGGCAGCTGAGGTGGTCAGGGCCTCTTATCAGCGAGACCAGCCAGAGGCTACAGGGGATGGCAGGGCGAGCACTCGAGGTCAGGGCCTCTGGTGGGTGGTGGCGATTCTGGGAGGGGGCAGGCCTGGGAGGGTGCTGAGGACGCAGATAGGGGCCTCCAAGCGCACAGTGGAGCAGAGCAGCTGCTCCTGGGTCTCTGCCGGCCAGGCCTCCCTCCTTGGTGATTGGCTCAAACCTTCCCTTCCTGGAGTGCACAGGGAGCAGCCGCCACCCACCGTCCTAGTCCAAACACACTCCCCACCGCCGCGTACATGCCTGGCTTGCCCAGCAGTGAACATGAGTGCTGCTGTGTTTTCCCACGTGAAATGTTTAAATCAGTGGTCCCTGACCCTTCCGCAGCTCCTGAAGCCAGAGGCAGAGCCTGGGCGGGGAGCACGGCCTGGACAGAAAGGACAGGACACAGCCGTCCCCCACCCCGGGGCCTCCATCCCGCTCACAAGCCAGCGTGGGCGCCTGCCCTGACGTGGCCTGGGTGCCACAGCCACCCTGTGCGGGAGTCTGCGGGCACAGCCGTGGCCAGGTGTGTGGGGCAGGGCTGGAGCTAGGAACCTGCAGGAGACAGCGGGCATCTGCACCCACTTCTCTCCCCTAAGCCCACAGTGCTTGGCTCTGGAGCATCTTGCTGGCCTCAGAGCATAAATCTGGCTTTATCATTATACCCACTGGGAAAACCCAGGAGGTCTTGGGACGGTCTCCACTTGGGTCGGTTTAGCTAAATTACAAGAGTTTCCCCCTACCCACAGGCTGCATTTTCCTCCCAGTTTTTATCCTCTGGGATGTGGCTTCCCCTGGATGCAGCTCCAGCTCCACAAAATCCAGTCTTTTCCACAGACAAAAAGACAGGGTGGCGCCTGGGTAGCACTGGGGGAAGGTGGTGTGGGCACCTCGGCCTCCCACACACCCCAGCAGTCAGCCCAGGCTTTGGAATCCCCCTTTAGGCGTGGGCAGGGCTGTACAGCTGACCTGGGGTGGGGCTCCGGGTCTGGGACCACAGCCCCAGTGCAAAGGCACCCACCTTTCCCACACTAGCCACGCACACAGCAGGCGCCCGGGAATCGCGCGGTGACCCCACCGTCGCCCCACACAGCTTCCAGTTGACCCCTCACACCGGGATGGGAAACAGAGCACTCGCCTGACCTTCACACACGGCTGAGATTTCCCAGGATGTGCTTGTGAACAAGACTCAAGGCCTGAGAGCCACCAAGGCGGCCGGCCATGCCTGCTTCAGGGATGGGCTCTTCCCACACAAAGCCTGTGGCTTTATTTGGCGTGCAGCATCGGCTCATACTTGAGTTTCAACACTTTGTTTCTAATCAGTTGATAACTGTGTACACACACACCCCACACACACAGACACACAATTTCTGGCTTCCCTTGAAAAAGAGCCTTTTCAGATTTTAGATTATGCATCTAAAATTTCCTTCATAGATATGGATTATTTAATAGATATTGAAGTTATTTCTTCTTGGGTTAAAGGAATTGGTCCATTTTATCCAGATTTTCAAATGTATGGGCATGAGGTGGTTCACTGTACTCTTTTGATGCCTGTGGGGCCTACAGAATATCCTCTTCATACCAAATACTGGGGATCTGTGCTTTCTTGTCACTCTGGCTACCGGTTTCTCAGTTAATGATTTGTTCCGAAGAACCAGCTTTAGGCTTGGTTTTTTATATTTGCTGCAGTTTTGTTTTCATTTTTGTTGCTTGGTGTTAGCTCCGTTATTTCCTTCCTTCTGCTTGTTTGGGTTTACTTTGCATTTCATTTTCTAGTTTCTTAAGCTTAGATTGATGATTTGAGAACTTAATCAGTATTTAATACTACAAATGTAACTCTAAGCATTGCTTTAGTTGCATCCCACAAATTTTGATATGGTGTTACATTTTTCAGTTCAAAATATTTTCCATAGTTTGCTTTGAGACATCTTTAACAGATTGTTTAAAGGTGTGTTGTTTAGCTTCTAAATCTTTGGAGACTTAAGATCTGTTTCTGCTATTAATTTCTAGCTGAATTCTATATTCGTAGAAAATACTCTGGACAATTTCAGTTCTTTTAAAAAATTCTCATGACCCAGGATATGGTCTGTTTTGGTGAATACCTAATGGGATCTGAAAAGAATCGTACATTCACTTGGTTGTTGATGGTGCCCAGGTTTTCTATATCCTTGCTAACTTTGTCTGCTTTTTCTATCGGTTACTGAGGAGAGCTGGAGTCCCTAAGTGTAACCGGAGATTTGTCTTTCCATTTCTATCAGTTCTGGCCTTACGGACTTCCAGGCTCTGGGGTTCTGTGCATACACACTCAGAACTGTTGTCTCTTCTTGGTGAATTCACCGGTCTATCATGATGCAATGTCCCTTTTTATTCAAGGCAAATGTCCTTTACTTTGCCTGGTATTAATACGGTGACTCCAAGCTTTCTTTGATTCATATATGCATAGTATATCTTTCTCCATCCTCTTATTTTTAATCTCACTGCATGGCCTCCTGCTCAGTATATCCCTGCACCCTGGCATCAGCCATGGATGTAATTAAAGTGAGCTTGCTGTAAACAGTAGGTAGCTGAGTCTTGGGTTTCCTTTTAAATTAATTTGAACATTGCTGTCCTTTAATTGGTATGGTTAGGCCATTTACATTGAATGTTATTATTGACATGTTTGAATTTAGGTCGACCACTTTAATTTTTTTTGTTCTCAGCTTGTCCCTACTGTTTTATTCCTGCCTTCTTTTAGATTATTTGAAATTTTAAAAACATCCCATTTTAATGTATCTGATATTTCACTGTATCTCGTGTGTGTGTGTGTGTGTGTGTGTGTGTGTATATATATATATATATATATATTTTTTTTTTTTTTTCTTTTGAGATGGAGTCTCGCTCTGTTGCCCAGGCTGGAGTACAGTAGCGTGATCTCAGCTCACTGCAACCTCTGCCTCCCAGGTTCAAGCAGTTCTTCTGCCTCAGTCTCCCAAGTAGCTGGGACTACAGGCGCCTGCCACCACGCCCGGCTAATGTTTGTATTTTAGTAGAGATGGGTTTCACTGTGTTGCCCAGGCTGGTCTCGAACTGAGCTCAGCCAATCCACCTGCCTTGGCCTCCCCAAGTGCTAGGATTACAGACGTGAGCCACCATGCCTGGCCTGTATGGTTCTTTTAGTGCTCTAGGGCATTGGTTCCCAAATGGGAGTGATTATGACCCCATCCTCACACCCCTGCCCAAGGAAACATCTGGCAATTTCTGGAGACGTTTTTAGTTGTCACAGCTGGAGGAACACTGCTGGTATCTAGTGTGTAGAGGCCATAGATGCTGTTAAACATCCTGAAGTACCAGGATAGTCCCCCACAATAAGGGATTCTCCAGTTCAAAGTATCAATAGTGCTGCGGTTGAAAAAGCCTATTGTAGGGACTATAATATATGTAACTTGTCCGAGTCTCCGTAAGATAAGTATTTTAGTACTTTAAGTGGAACGCGGAAGTCTTCCCACCAAGTTCACTACGGTCTCCCTCTTTTACACTGTAGTTGTCACTACAACTAAAACCGCACCAGTTATATTTTTTTGCTAACTTTCACTTTTCAAATAACTTAAGAAAAATATCTATATTTACCCAGATATTGGCCATTTCTGTTGGTTTTTCCTTCATTCCTGGGGTCCCAAGTTGCTCTCTGGTCCAGTTCCTTTCCAGCGAAGAACTGACTTTAGTATTTCCTGTAGAGTAGCACGGCTGCCATGACTTCGCTTCGCTTCCTTTCATTTGAGGTGGTCTTTATTTTGCCTTGATTCCCAAAGGATTTTTTTTTTTTTTTTTTTTTTTTTGCTGAATATAGAATTCTGGGTCAAACGTTCTTTTCTTGCAGCATCTGAAAAATGAGCCACTTCCTTCTGACTTCCCTCGTTTCTGGTGAGAAACCCAGAGTAATTTGGATCCTTTTCCTCGGACTGCTTTTGACATTTTTTTATTTGACTTTGATTCTTGCCAATTTGATTGTGATGTGATACGTTTGGGATTCACTGAACTTCTCACATCTATGTTTGTCTTTCACCAAATTTGGGTGTTTTCAGCCCTTATTTCTTCAGTTATTTTTCCTCTGTGCCACACTCTTTCTCCTCTCTCCAAGGCTCAGATGACAGAATATTAGACCTTTTGGAATTTGCCCCTGACTCTCTTCATGTTTTTGTTACTGTTTTTCAATTGCTTCCTGTTCAGAATGGACATTTTTTATTGCTCTGTCTTCAAGTTCACTATTTCCTCTCATCTGCATTCTACGGTTGTGCCATAAAATACATGATTTAGATTACATATTTTTCAATTTAAAATTATCTATTTGGTTTTCTTTAAACCTCTATTTCTCTGCGGAGATGTTCGGTCTTCCCACGCATTCCAAGAACGTTTCTCTTTTCCTCAGAGCACTGTTACAACAGTGACTGTCGGCCTGAGCTGGCTTCTATTGACTGTCATTTCCACTGAGAGCTGAGAAACTCTGACTCTTCATACATAACTTTGGTTTTTATC